CTCATTGCATCGTCCTCCAGCCCACTGCCAATGTGCTGTGAGCTCTGCCGAGGCGTATTTCCACGTTGGCGGTGATTGCTGCAAGGGGACAAAGCGACAGGGCTCTGCGCAGCCTCCTGTGTGCTGCCAGCCCCTCTCAGCCGAGCTCTTCCTCCAGCACTGGCCAAATTTTTTGGCATCCAAGCACCACAGGCCACATGTGGAGCTGGCGGCTGACACGATCTTTCCTCCCAGGTTGGGTCCCAGGCGGAGGCCAGGTTTTCAGAAATGATCCTGCTGTGGAAAACTGGCTCTCGCCACCCCTGGCTCGCAGGCTCCACGTCCCCATTTCCCAGGTCAGGGGCTGGGAAGCTTCTCAGGTGATTTGGGGGTTAGGAAAGCTTTGTGCAAAGCCATCTGCTTTGAAGTGCCTACCTTAGGGCAATGGGGAAAGTTGTCCTGTGAACGACTTACAGCACTGGATCCCTATATGGTCCCTAAAGGCAAATGATCAGGAATTTTTAAAACTAATTAGCTACGATTAAGTGTTTGACATTTGTGTCAGCCCTGTCCGCTGAATTACAGTTTCCCAGATCTTTTATGTGCTGCAGTTGAATTTCCTTTTCAATATCAAAGAGTGCTTTCTTTTTTCTTCATAATATATTTTTAAGAGTGACAAGAGATCGATAAAAACGTGTAATTGAGGGATCCATAAAGCCTACATAATTTAGCTCCATATAGCATGCTTTAATAAAACAAGACACACCAGTTGGTTGGTATGCAGGCAGGTATATGCATCTTTGTCTCTGATTTGGTTTATGTTAGGCTTTGTTCTTTTAAACACTGACAGCTATTTAACACTTTATTAGGAAAATCAAAATTTAATTAAAACACTGTAATGCAAGGTTCCTCTCCTCAGCTTAAATTAAAAATAATGACCTGTCCCCTTTTTTTTGGCTAGGAAAAGAAAGAAAAGAAGTGTTGATCATTCCCCATCCCTTGAATTTTTTATGGGTTTTGTCACAGTTAAACAAACAAGCAGTGTTTTTCTATAGACTCTCCCTTATAGACCCAGATGACTGTGACAGTCAGCAGCCAACCTCAATTACAAATAACTTTTGGTTACTTCATGTTACTCTGCCTGGAAAAGGGCAAGCTGTGAAGCCACCCCAGTTCTCCCTGTAGGGCTCCCCCTCTGCATAAAGGGCAGAGCCACCAGCTAGACAAGGAGCTCACGGCTGCACAGCCACTCGGCAGCGGCTCTGTGTTAGGAATCAACCAGCCACACGAATATGTCACTTGATAGCTGGCCGTGGTCACACCAGGCCAGTAGAAGAAGCCAGAGGAAAAGTTTCCTTCTGTAAAAGTGAGTGGCAAGCTGCTGAATCACTCTGGCAGGCAGGAGTCAGCATGTCTAGGGGAAGAGAAAGTCAATGTCTCCTGCAGGGAATATTAATAATAAAAACCAAAGCAAGGACATTCAGGACTCGAAAGGATCTTTACATTTAGTAAAAAACATTCCAAGAGTGGCTCCACGCACAAATTAATATTTCAGGAACCGTAAAACAATATTCATTTTATATTTATGATACAACATCATTCATCCACCAGGGTTTCAAAGTATTTTACAGTCACACACCAAGAAAGCATCTCATTTGCAGTGAAATGCAGCTTCCCTGTCATGGAAGTAAAGCAGTTGACAGAACTGCCTAGGACACAAGGGAAAAAATGTTGCCATCAAGGGAATTTGAGAGAGCTCACTAGTGCTGCTCCTGTTTTTTAAGCCCAGGATGGGCCTAAGTAACTGCAGAAGCTGTGCACGGGGAGACGAGACAAATGGAAAAACTGGGTACAGCAACCACAGATGTACGTAGAAGTTTTAGACAACTCGTTGCTGAAACCTGGCCAGGTCCTGTTCAGATAAATAAAGATGTAATAATTTATGAGAAATGGATTTTATTGTCCTTTCCTCCCAGTCGGCTCTCTGTTAAAACATTGGCAAAAATGTTCTTTGGCAAAAAGACTTAGCAGAAATTAGCCAGACCCAGGAAAAATCCACAGCTGCAGCATGCAAACCACTGGGGATCCCTGTCCCTCGTGGGGCCCATCCCCACTCAAAAATTGGAGGGGAAGCCTCCCTTTCTTCTTCTCTCAATCCCTGTCAGCCCTTCCCAAGCAGAGGAAAAAGGATGCAAAGTTAGCGCTTGTTTACTGGGGACACTGAGTATTCACCAGCCAATATATATTTCCACCGATGCTATAGGTTGAATTTTTGCAAATACTGCAGTCAACTTCATCAGTAACAACCAGAAATACCCTTCAAAAAGAAAATAGAGAATGCAACACCTCTGCCAACAAACTAAATAATCCTATATGCATAAATATTCTTAAAATACAGGATTTGTATCAGATGCAACAGAAGCTGTGATAGGGGATATGCTTTGTTACAGCCTGATGTAGATTTAAACTCAAATACTGCACTCTCATAGACAGACACCACCCCAAATCCAATTTTCCTCTCAAAATGGAAGTGCAATAAATAAAATAGACTGCCAAAACTGTCTACATAAGTCCCGTCAATGCCATGTTTTGGGGTTGCTGTTGCTGTTGCTTTGTTTTGCTTGTTTGTTTCATATTTCGGTATGTATATGCACGCACATACACACGTGGTTGAAATATGAATTTATGTTCGCTCAGAGACAGAGCTTGCTTTTGGTCTCTCTGTGAAGACTGAATATTTTTAAAATAATCATTAGAAAGAAAGAGAGAAGGGGAAGGAAAAAAAAACTATTAATTTTCATTTGGAGAAAGCTTTAGCTCTATAACAGGGCTTGTCTTTGATGCAAAAGTTGCTAGGAAAAGGAAGCACAGAATGTTAGATGCAGTTTGCCTGGTGCAAAAATGAGCGTAATTTGGCCAAAACATGTATTTTATTGGGCATCAAGGACTATTGATTGAGAGCATCGCAAAGGGCACAAAACCTTCCATAGCTCTGTAGCAACACTGACACCAACAAGGAGGGTTTTCAGCTGAGGCATGCAGTGTTTTGCACAACCCCTTCTCGCTGCATATGGCATTTCAGATGGCAGCTGTGACTTCCCGAGAAAGATCTTGGAGCCTTCTAGGTCAGCAAGTCAGGTGCCAGCGCTGTTTTACAAGCAGCAGGGCCCTGTCGGTGCTGCCACCAGTAACCTCCTCTCCAAAACCCCTCCTTCACCTACAGTCCAAGCACTGCAGTGAGCTTGCTGCCTTGCTCGTGCCTGAAACTGCTCCTAATTTTACGCTGCTGCTCCTGTCTTTAAACATACACTCAAGGCACACTTTCTGAAAACCTGTCCCCCTGCACCTCTGTGTGTACACTGCATCGATAATGTGAGCGCTGTGCAAATGCTTGCAGAGCAGAGCAGCATATTTGGTGTAAAAATATTTAAGAGCCAAAGGTGAGTTAGAAATATATCACATGTGCTTTCCAGGGGAAGAGGTTAATTCAGCAGTTTAGCTGGGACTGTGCAAGGAGCAGAGAGAGACTCCAGCTGTATCTGCATGCCCTGCAAGATGGTCTGTTTAGCGGTATCGCATCACCCCAGCAAATTTCCATTGGCTACTCATGCCTCGGTGCTGAATATTATTTCCAGCTTTCTGTGAAAATAGTAACTTTTGGTGGGTGACAATGTGTACAGTAAAACTTGTAGATATGAGAAAAAGAACTGCAAATGGTCTAGCTCATATTTTAGTTCCAGCTCCTGAAACTCTGGTAAATAGCATGAGCAAGCTTTTGCCAGATCACCACTGTGATGCTCTGTTAGCTGGGTGCTTGCATTTATCGTGACTCCCCCCTACACACACACATACCCAGGCACCTTCTGTAAGGTAGGGTCTTTTAATTCAAACACGAAAATAATTTTAAAGCAATCCACTGCCACTCTATTACGATTATGTTCTCTGCTACTGAATCTAAGCCAAGGACTCTGGGGACAGCGAACACATTAATGTTCTTGGAAAGTCATTTAACATATGTCTCTTTCCATTTAAACCCTGCTGATCACTCCAAGGATTTAATTTTCCCAGCCATAAAATAAGCCTATGATATCTAGTTACCTGGTTTGTGGATAGAGATGGTTGCAAGTAAAGGACTTGAAGAGTTAAGTAATTAACAAAGAAGACCTTCACCTGCCACAGGGCTCACCCTCTGTGTGAGGACATGGTGTGAAGACCAAGCTGAGCAGCTGAGACGAGCACCTGGTAGACCCGCTTACGTGGCCAATGAAGACAACTGCAGGCACAAGATGGCTGTTGAAAAACACTGTGGGTGAATGGGACATCGCCCATGCTTTGTGGGATGAAAGCATGAGGCAGATGAGATGTGGTGGTGGGAAGAGCACCGTCACCCTCTGCAGCACCGTCATGAGGGCTTGGGAGAAGGCGTGACACCGAGGAGGCCCAGGGCAGGGCACACAGTGGGGAAGGAGATCAGAAATTTGTGTTGACGGATGGTCAACCCCCTATCTCAACACTATTAAAGCTGACACCACCATCCATCCTGGATTCAAGCACCATAACCCAACCACCAGGCATCTCTCCACCCCTGGCTGCTCTCAGCTGACGCTTGTTGGAGGGCAGGGACGTCTCCTGTGCAGATCTGTGCTGCTCCCCTCACAACCACAGAGCCAGTTAAGGACTGCCTCTCAGTGCCACGACTCAGACAAAAATCAAGAGGCCACACTTCAGGCTAAGTATCTAATTGCCTTTTCATTCCCTGGTGCTTAATCATCAGTAAATACAGGAATAAAACATAACAAAGGGCAGCTCTGACATACCCGAATAGCTCCCTGCTCTGGTGCCCGGTCTGCACACCAGCCACTCTGCCCTTCCCTCCCCCTCCTTGGCCAAGGTGTCTCTCCCTCTTTTAGGGTCCTTTTTTAGGACTTTAGGACCTCAGGCACATGCTTCCCTCCCTGCCTGAGGCTGTCCATCGTGCACAACCACTGCCAGAGGCTACAGCCCAGGTTGATTTCTTGTAGGGCTTACAGAAATCTCTCCTAAAGCAGAGGACGAGAACAGCTCAGCTCCTTCACACCCTCGCAGGGCAAGGAGGCTGCGTGGGATTGCTCAGGATCAAAGGTGGGTTCAGTGTGGGACTGGCCACAGGCAGGGCCGGTCACAAACACAGATCCCAGCACAGATTTCTGGTTATCCAACAAGTACTTGTCACGTCCTGCAGGATGGGTATAGCATGTGGCAGCCCAATTACAGCACGTGGAGCAGGAGGTGGCTGTGCCATAAAGCAGTAGACAGTAATTAAAATTAGCCTGGGGAGGTGGGGGGGGAGCATGGAGGGAGAGACTTTAACTCTTCCTTTTCTTTATTCTATTTCCTATGTTTAGTTCCTTTCCCATTCTTTTCCTCGGCTCCTTTTGTTACTTTCCCAATCATCACGCCACGCTTTTGCAGCCCGATATTTTCCCTGTTGGCAGGGAAAATCGCCCTTCCCTCCAGGCAGGGGCAGAGATGCTGGAGGGCAGCAGCAGGGCCCCCTGCAAGGCAGTGACCCCACGAGGGCAGCCCCAGATGCCCCGCAGGCCCTACGAACGCCTCCCAACCTCGGAGCCTAACGCTGTGGTAATGCCGCCTGTGGTAACAGCAACCCAGCGCTCCCCGTGAATAATCGCAGAATTTATTTATAGTGACAAAACGAGAGGGCCTTTTATGCAATATTCACTAAGGTTACCCAGGTCAATAGCAGCCTAGTCAGCGTGACTCATCCTGTGGAATTAAATATTTTATACATAGCACAGTGATCGGCTGCGTCTGGCTTGCCTTCCAGTAACTGCCTTGGTCTCATTTTCCCCTTTTTCTCCCCAAAACAGAGCAGAGAATTCAAAGCGCCCCGTATGGTACAGCATCTGGTTCTCCTTACTCGATGTCAGACAAGCGATCAAAGATGCAGAAGGAGTGCTTGCACTAACGCCGTCTCTTGAAATAGCTTTGCCTGGTGATCTGTAGGAAATAATGGCCTGCGTGTAGGACGGGGCACCCCGCAGGCTCCCAGCCGCTGCGCGGGGTCAGGTCGGTGCCGCTCTCACAGGAGGGTTGCTCCAGGGCCCAGGAAGCTGAGCAATTCATGCAAGGTCGCTGAGAAAGCTGAAAAGCAGGGCTGGGGACAGAGTTTAAAAGCTCTGAGTGCAAGACCCCACAGGGAAATTGTCTGCAAGCTTTCAGGGTTCAGACGGCTGAATAGAAAGCGATGCTCGCCGGAGCCTTTTGCCCTGCCCTGACACATGCAGAAGGAGCTGAGCCTGCGGGTCCTGCCCCGCCGTCCCAGCACAGCTTCAAGGGAGACGTGTGAGAGCATCCCCCACCAGCAGTGTAGGTGGTGCAAAGAGCAGGTGGGAATAAAAGTGTCAGGGAAACAGCGCTGTTAGGGCTGGAGGGCTGTCCACACCTCAGGCCCAAGAGCTCTGCAGCAAAAAGCTCGGGCCAGTTGTGGGAGAGGATCCGAGCAGAGCATCAGCGGGGTCCCAGCCCCACAAAGACCCCCAGAGCCGTGCCCATGGGGTAAGAGTCACTGCACACATCCACCAGGCTGAGCAGGCACGGGGCAGAAAGCTCAGCGGCTGCAGGGCCAATGCGAGCTCTGCAAGTGCTCCTTAAACGTGCCACACAGGAGGCTTCCCAAGAGCGCTCAGCGTGAGGGCTGGGGCCATTATTCCCCACTGACATGCGACTGTGAATGTATTTTCATGGTCTCTTTCTTTTTTTTTTTTTTTTTTTCCCCTCAATAAAATTGGCCAGAAGAGCAATTACATTGAGACAAGGACTAAATTGTTTTGATTTAAGCCGTTCCCATTTGGAAAGGGGCATTACTGGAACAATGGATATAATAAAGCGATACTTGTTTACATGACTTTTCCATTAGCAGAGGAGAATTTGTGGGAGGTGTAAACTTTTCCAGACATTCAACTCGAGCTGCTTAATGAAACATTTTAACTAAAGCATCAGGGTACGTAAGGGTGATTTACCACAGCTCATTGCTTCGTTGGGGTGGCGCAGAACATCCTAAAAGAGTGTAAGCAACTGATCCCATAGCCTCCTTCTGCACATCTGGGTACTTAGCAGGTCATGCAGACTTCCCTGCTTTGTTACCCAGCTCCAAGCCCAGACCTCGGTCACCATCTCCAGGAGGTCCACGGCAGCCCCACCACATCTGCTGAGGGAAGCAAACACTTCGCTCAGAAGCCTCTGGTCACGGGGCTGGGTCCTTCGAGGGCAGCAGGGCGCCTGTGTTGGTGGAGGCATCGTTGCTGTGTCAATGCTGTGCAGATGGCAGCGGAGGTCAGAGTTGGTCGGGATGCTCCCGTATGGTCCAAGCATCAGGAAGTGCCGTGAGGAAGCATCTCTTGCTCTGCGTCAGGTATCGATCCATCACATAGCTGCTGCTCGTGTAATTAAGTCCCCAGAGCAGATAAGGGAGAAAAATAACTTGGGAAAAGAAAAGTATCAATAGCCGCAGCTGAGAAGTTAAAGGGTTTTATGGATTCAGGATGCAGGAACAAGCACCGTGAGCTTCTCTTATGGAGAAACAGACATTTCTGACACACACACACACACACACACAGCCAACACCCAGAGGTCAGATTATGGTCCCAGCCATTTCAAATGGAGTTGTAAACGAGAGGAGCTCATACCCTGAAGTTCAGCCTTTGGGCATATCTTCAGAAATGCTGGCTTTTGCTGGGGAAATACTGAAATTTCACCACACACAGCAGCAGCCCATGGCCATGGGTGGCCCCTGCTCTCCTGGGAAGGGCGAAGGGGCTCTGCTCCAGCACTAGGACACGTTTCAGACCCACCGAGCTGAAGTTCTTGGGCTTCTCACAGTTTTCCACTACTGTAAATTTCTTCCAATAATGAGCTCTGACTGCATCACCACCAGGCTTGAAATCTGTGTGCATTTCTACCCTAACAAACCCTGCTCTGCCACACAAGTAGCCCGGCAGCACTAATTGCTCCCATTAGCTAATAGCGCTTGAATCATCTTTGTGGGTCAGCTGTGAGTTTGTGCACATGACATTTACGCGTGGCATGGGAGAGGAGGTCCCTGCAAATACAATTAAAGAAAAAAAAAAAAAACATGAAAGAACAAGCAACACTAAAGAGAAATGAAATACGAGAAATACAAGTGATGAGGTGACACCAGGGTGGCCAATGCAGCCCTCTCAATTTTGAAGGACCTAGTGGCCCCACAGTTCTTGCATTTGGCCCTACAAAACAGAGAAACTCTGCCACAGGAATAAATCACAAGTGCAGCAAGCTGTCCTAGGAGTAAATGTACGAAGAGCTCAATTTGTCCTGATGGATGGATAGACAGTGTCACAGTTCACTTCATCTGACAGGACTAAGATTCGTACACAGCACAAATTGATTCAGAAAAGTGAAGACTGCCATGTGCTATTACCGTTACATTTGATCTTAATAACTACGTACTATAAGCAGATTTTGGTGCCGGGCTTCTTCAAGGAGAAAAAAAAATACTAAAAACAACAACTAAGAGAAGCCCAGTGCATCTGTACACAGCAGGAATCGAGCCCCCTGAGCATGCTCCTGTTGAGAGAAGACTATGATGGGTGAGAAGAATCACATTAAATCCTGTCCCATTCTCCCCCTTTCGTCCTCTCCCTCCACCCCCATCATCGCAGTGCTTGGTACTCCTAGAGGCTCTGCTAAATGCAAGGGAAGGAAGGCACATAGTTTGTGCTGTGTGTGAATCCAACATTGTTACAGCTGTTAATTCTTCTTCTCCTGCCCTGTTTACGGGAGCAGTTCTGGTTTTGTTTACCTTCCTGTCACACGAGGCAAGCGGGACTTTAGGATTCCTATATGCTCTGGCCACTTGTCACGGTTTCTTTGCCTGGACATGCAGAATAGGCTGCATCCCCGAAAAAGGGGGATTTAAATTAGAAGAGGTATCACTGAGGAGTTAATGCAAGGTAGTTAACCCTTCTTCTGAATAGGAAAAAAGGAAAGGAAAAAGAAAAAAAAGAAGGGAAAAGACGGCGTTAGCAGGGAGGTACAGGTTACATCCCTCGTTCCCTTGCCCACCACACAGCATACGAAATGCCAGACAAAACATCTCCCAGGTCCCTGCAGCCGGCAGTGGCAGCTGAGTGCCGGGAGACGTTTTGGGCGGCTCAGGAGAAGCCGAGCAGCCTGGCACACCCTGGGCTGGTTTCTGTCCTCGGAGAGCCCACCCCGGCCCTGGCTCTGTGCCCACCTCGCAGTGCAATGGGATCCTGGCTGTGCCGCTGCCGGTCCTTTTGCTGGGAGTAGAGCAGCCTCCCATGAGGAGTGGGGGGAAAAAAAAGACATATTTGTTTACATGCGATCGCTTACTGAATGTATCTGCTTTTTTTCTTTTCTCATGAATGGCTTTTATTTCTTCTTGGGTACTTCCTGCCAACTGGAGCAGAGGTGAAGGGAAACAAATTTAATCCGGGTGTTAGCAAAAGTCACCCTTTGCAACCAGAAAAGCCATAAACATCGTCCTTTTCCCTTTTTCTTCCTCTTCTCTTCTAAGCAAACAATCACATGCAATCCACCGGGGAGAGTGATTCACCATAAAATCTCTCTGTTTAATCAGCATGCCCAAGAAGATTGTCGTCTTCTTATAATTACGTGGAGCACATAAGTTCGAAGCCGTGCTCCCTCCCAGTCCGAGTGAACCGGGAGAGGAATCCCTTGGAGTCCCACGCCCCGTATCTGACCGGCAGCCTCACTCCCTAGTCACAAAGCCGAAATTAAATACGGTGTCATTACCGCCAAGGGCAAGCAGCCTGACACCAGATTATCAGACTCCTTCCCACCTCCCGCTCCTCTCCTCGGCCTGCCACTTGTGGGTGTATATACACGTACACACTCCTCTCTCTCTCTCTCACACACACACTTAGCCCAATTTCCTTATCTACGTGATATATCACCACTGGATTTTGACAGCTATACAGGTAGGGGCTGTGAGCTGAGAATCTGTATGGAGAAAATATTTAGCTGCGGCGTGTCAAGATAGAAGGCGAGGGAATTGGAGCAACGTAATGAAGAGAACGGCAGCAAATGAAAAGATGGAGTGGATAAGTAAAGAAGAAAGAGCCTTTAACAAAAATGCACAACAAATAGAGGAATGCAAAAGATTGTTTCTATGGCAATGTAAGAAAGACTGCAAAACTGCTGTCTGCAAGCAAATGTATTTAAAATGAAACATGAGGTAACTGAGGTAACAGAGCCTGTGTCACTGATGGCAAAGCACTTTAGCAGCAGTGAGCCTCCAGCGTCCCCTTCCCTTCCCACCGGCTGCAACACGAGAGCACGGCCACCACAGCTCGGCTGGGGGACTTGTGGCGGTGGCCCCACAGCTCAGGTGGCCAGGCTGCTCCTCGATCCTCGCCAGGAAAAGCCACCCTGCCTCTTTCTCACCCACCCCTCAAAAAAAAAACCAAAATACACAGTCCCTGGAGGCCCCTTCCCATGTGTGTACCTGAGGTGTCAACTCGGCAGCTTCAGCCAGTCCCCAAGGGGATCCTCACGGGATGGGGCCAGCCTCTGAGTGGGACTGGTGTCACCTGCTGAGCCCCCTCTTTCTCCTGCCTGAGACCTGAGGCAGGCACTTGCTGGGGCTGTGAGGCTGTGTGCGCGTAACGTGCCATAAAACAAACCGCGTTACTTTGCGTATAAATTGACAAGTAAATTAGAATTCATTCTTAGGTCAAATTGGCTGAGATAAAAGCTGAAAATAGCGAGGAAACGCACTCAGATATGTCTACCTGTTGATGAACCTGTTCCTAATCCACTGCAAGGGAAAAAGAAAATTAAAAAAGAAACCCGAATTTCCTCTACACGACCCCTCTCGCAGAGCCCGTTTGTCTGCACTAAATGCTGCTGGGGGGGGTCTAAAGCACAGCAAGGGGCTGTGGCAAGGCAGAGGATGTAAACAGAAGAGCAAAGAGATTACTTCAACACAAATTCTTATCAGTTTTGCTATTCAGTGCCTGTCTTTCAGCGATGTGGCATTTCGGCTCCCGAAACTCTATTATGCCCTATTTATATCCATTTTCTGAATGGTAAAAGCTGTAACCTAGCACCTCGGGCACTGGGCTGAGGCTTTGAAGAGTTGGGTCTGGCTTGTCACTGCGTATGCAGCCATAGCAATGCCTTTATCCAAAAATCAGGGATAATACATCCCTGCTGCAACCAAAGCCAGCTTATGAGATCCTCTTGTGTGGGCCCTTTAAGTGCCGAGGGCTTATGCTGCTGCATGTATTGCCTTTGAATCAAATTCAGCTTTCTTTCAACATGACAGCTTATTTATTCTTAGCGCTCTTATTTGTGCTAATGCCACTGTCATCTATCAAAATGCAGCTGGTGTCCGCTGTATTTCTCCGGTGTCAACCTGAGGAAAATAGCAGTGAATTAGGCCCTCTCCCTTCAATTAGCCACCTTTGTTCCCACGAACACTCTGCCTGGATGTGCTTCCCGCTATACTGACCGAGCTGCGGAGCCTTCCCGCGGCAGCCCCTCTCCCCAGGCTGTACGGACACCACTTCTGGCTGCCCACGGTGCTCCTTGCTGCAGCACGACTGGATACCGATGGCATACACAAGGAAAGGAAGCGGTGCTGGGGCCTGAAATACTCTGAAGGAGTGATCCCTTCTTTGATTTCTCAGTCATCCAGGCTTTGCTTCACCTGTGTGTTCAGCAAAGCTACCCCCAGCCTGCTGTTAGGACGGGCTGACAGGCACCTTTCCTGCTCACAACAAACACCCATGCACGGCACATCCAGAAACACATCAAACTCTCCTTTCCCATCCCCTTCAAGTTCAAGGTTTGTTTTTTGTTTTTTTGGGGTTGGGGTTCGGTCGTTGTAATCACGGCCCTTGTGGAAGCAGTCTGCCTGACAGCCTTGCTGACTGAAATCTGCTGTTTATCCACAGAGCAGGAGCGGTTTGTGCTGCTGAAGCTTTCTTATTCACATCACCTACATGCCGCGAGTCTGCTTTGAAGAGGCACCTCTAGGGGTGAAAGCATACTTCTGTCTCTAAGCTAAATTCAATCCCTGATCTCTTTGCAGAGACTAACAACAAGGGAGACATTTGGCATGATTGATGGGAGCCAAATGAATAATTCATGGCAGATCATTTATTTTGATGAATTTTAGCCTCTTTTTCTGTTTGCAAATTGTCTGCGAGTAGCTTATGAACATCTCAAATGTATATGGGATTTGAAATTAACTGCTGGATACTTTCCGGAAATAATTCCTAGCCAGCAGATTGCTCACCAACCATTCAGGGGAAGCATTTGAAATTTCAAATTCCAGCCACGTCGATTAGCTTTGATTGCTCTCATGAGCCAGAAGCTCATCCACAACACTGGTGTAAATGCAGAGGAACTCCGCTGACTATGCTGGAGCACGATTGCAGGTTTACTTTGGTGCTACCAGCCTCAGAATCTGCCCAGAGAACATTTCTGTTCTCCAGGCAGGTAGCTAACGTTTTAAATCAAGTGTCCTCAGTGACCGGGAAAGGAGAAAGTAAAACAAAATAATTATATGTTTACATTTCTTTTCCATGAATCACAAAATATTTTGCTCCAGTAACTCTCCCTGCCAGTAAATACCCATATCCTTAACATGCCTGGCTATCAGTCAGACACCTGTCATTTCTTACCTGATGCATTCCCCATCAGTTACCGTGACTTTCCTCCTTCTAGAAACCCATTAAATGAGTTTGCTGAGGCAAACCCTGAACCAGACTCCCCATCAAGCTCTGTTTTATGCCGGTGTTGCCAGCTGAAGCCAGTGGTATAATACTGGTGGGGTACAACGGGGAACCACACTTGCATCACACATGTCACAGTGAGCGCTGGTCCCTTTTGGTGCCTAAGGCTGCCTGGGTGCAGGGCCAAGCTTGGCACGGTGCAGACTTCATGTCCCAGTGACCCAGTGGACCAGGTACCTGGTACAAGGCATAAAAGGGTGCCTAATGCTGTCAGAGGGGGAACATCCCTGCCTCCAGACCCCAAACCTTCCTGACTGAGAGGAGAAAGGCAGGGAGGGGTGAGGGACAAGCCGTGTCTGTGACCAACAGGATGAGGCTGAGGTGGTGTGTTTGGGGCCAGGACCAGATGTGGCTAAAGCAGAACAAGGACAGAGCACCAAATTCAGGAGCAGTAAGTCTGGGGGAACCCAAGGGACAGATTGTGTATTTTGGGTGGAATATCTCAGCTTTGCAAAGGGCGATGCAGTCTCCCAGGGTGACAGGAGGAAGGAACTTTTGCTTTAATGTTTTAATTAGTCTTTTAGTAAAGCAGACCAAGAGAGGGCTGCAGTTAATGGAATGCTATTTTGGGGAAGCAGAAGAGAGAGCTCCTATTGGACTGGGTACATCTGGATACCCTGTCATTCAGTGAATGCAGTGTCACCTGGGCCCGGCAGTCCCTGTGCCAGATTCCTGCTGGCTCTCTGTGGACCACCAGGTCTATTTTACACAAAGCAATGAACAGCCAGGCAGCCAGCAGAACCTGCCACACAATTCACATCAGACATGCCAGCAGTGAAAGGCTAAGGCACCTAGCCCCTGAGCAACAGTTGTCACTGCGAAGCAGGCAGATAAGAGCCTTAGTTAACTGAAAGCTGACAACCTGACCTGAAAATCCTCTCCAGTCAGGTTCTCTGGCTTCAGTGAGGCCACAGCTACTCAAAAGTCAAAACACACTGCTCCAGCCATGGAGACAGAGCCCCGTCTGAGCGCTGAGCGACAGCTGGGTGTTTGTTTCCTCCAAACCTCTCTGCAAACACAGCACAGGGAACATAGGAAGCTCTCCACCGATGGCAGCCAGCAGCTAATGCTGCTCCTTCTGTACCTTTTCCCACCTCTGCCCTTGACCCTCACAATTACAGACCTCTGCTGGCCTTCTTCCATCTGCCACGGCTGCGTTTCACCACGCCTGCTGCAGCCTATTTGTTTTCTCACCCCGTCCCGATTGCACCAGAATCCGCAGGACGCCAGGAGGAGGAGGAGGCAGGTGCCAAACACGAGCGCCCTTCGCTGGAGGGCTGGCATGGGTAGAGGCAGGACAGGGGGTGACATTTCCTCACGGCAGAGCCTAAGCTGCGTGGCACTGCTGGCCCACCCTGTGCTTGCGTGAGCCTTTCACTGAAAAACTAAGCTTGTCATTGCTGAAGGCTTTTTGGCAGCCAAGTCTTAAATATAGATTCTAATCACAACTGCACATGCTGTACGATCAGCCCCAAAACTGATTAACTTTTACATAAGCTTATGTTCAAGGGGCAATTCAAGATGTGGGAGCTGGCACCGGTTCAGGGCCTGAGTTGGTGTCTCTACGCTGCTCATCCCATAAAAACAGTGTACTGCATGCTTAAAGAGAACCAAATTATATATAATGGGAAATTAAGATGAACAACCATGGAATAGCCTTCATAAATTAAGTAGACCATCAGGCTGTATTACATACACGTATATATGTACGTATAGTGTGATGGAATGAACCGCTGTGAAAATGCTTATTTTACTGAACACAGCCTTCATGTGTTTTATTATTCAGTAGTCTTATTTCACCAACAGGGGGGTTTTCATTTCATTTTGAGAAAAATGCAGGAGGGAATAATAAACCACTTCAGTCCATATTGTTCCTGTAGAAGGAAATGGATGGTGCGGGAAAAGGAGGCATTTGTCAGTGGATGTATCCAAACCCATCACCGAGGTACGTAGCTCTGTGAGTTCAGCTCAGAGACATTGCAGTAGATGTCTGTAACACAGCTAACATCATAAGGGACAGCAGTCAGTACCTCAGCATGTAAGCAGGTCTACAGCCAAGGTCCAGCAAGAAAATTCCCTCTGGAACTGAACTCCAGAGAACTCTGCACCTTCCCTTGAAATGCAGTCAGAAGACAAGGAGTTTGACTCGATGGCCATTTGCTCTGTTCTGGTACTTTAATTGTGCACTGTGAGTTTCTGGTTTTCCTGAGCAAATGGACATTATTTTCCATGCAATCTTCCATGCAAAAATAATCCCTTTATGGGTCTGTAGTCCCCACTGGTCGTATTTCATATCCCAAGCCCCCAGCACTTCTCACTGACTCCTGGTACACTGAAAGTGAACTGTAAGGCAGCTAGTGTTTGAACAGCTGCCAGGAAGCGCTCCTACTCACAGGGCTACTGGCTTTCTTTCCCAGGCAGTGGGTGCTTCATCTTTAAAATCAATCTGATGCATTGGCACAAGCCCAGCGAGTGTTAGTCCATCTGCTGCCTAACTCTCCCGGTTTGTTTGCAGAGGCTTGCCATCAGCTGTTCAAATCCCTCCTTTTCCCCTCCAAGGAATTTCCTTTTTTCCCCCCCCCCCCACTAACTCTCCAGGATCCCAATAATCCCCACTTCACTTTCTCTCTCTTAATCAGCCTCCAGAAAGCCATGGAAAGGAGCTTAGGAGCACACGGTGCAATTAACAGTACTTCTAATTTAGCTGGCATGGTGATCACAGTACAATGGGGTGGGTGAGGCGGGAGAAACCCAGGTCTCTGCGACAGTGCTTGGCACAGTTAATCCCCAAGCCAAGCATTATTTCTCCATGGGGAGAGAGAATAGGCTCCCGCTCCCCACACTTCCCTCCCTCCTGCTGCAGTTAACAGCAGCCTACAAATCATGCCTGGTAAGAGACCAGGAGAAGACCCCATTGATTATCTGCTGCCTGCTCTTTTGGTGCATGTATCAGGAATGCAGCTACTGCAATTAGCCAGGAGAAGGGGCAGGAGGACAACCAGGGGCTGACCAGCTATGAGACATGGTACATCAGCCTGGGACCGTGGGGAAGGTTACGTTGCTGCTGTCTACAGTAACTTGTTCTGTGGCTGTTGCCTCCAGTCTCTAAAGCCTTAGGGGACACGGTTTTCACAGCCCAATGTGAACCTTGAGCTGCCTGGAGAGGGACTTTCTGGACCCCCTGCAAAGGGTGTTGAAGTGAACGCTGGGCCCAGTGCTGAGCATGCCTCAGCAAAGTCAGGAGGGAAATACCAGCCACCTGTAATTTCACCTGGTTGAAATTAGGTGTCTGATGGAGGCACAGGGCCCTGCATCTACACTTCACACTCCTCCTCACCACCCTACTGTGGCCTCACCTAGGGAGAAGACCCTGCCCCTAGCCACCTAACACCTAGTGCTGCTCAGCCTCTCACTGACATCCCAGCTAGCTGCAAGAGGAGGATCTCCTGCGTGGCTCAGGCTCACCCCTGCCTGACCTTCCCTCCCAAATTCCCCTGGGAGAAGCACCAGACAGTTTCTCCTTCCCTTCTCAGCACAGAGCTGAGGCGACCCCAGCATGGGCAGGCTCTGACCGCAGCCCCACGGGAGAGTCGCTTGAGGATGGCGCTGGCTTCCCTTTGCTTTCTGGCAGGAGGAGGGCTTCTCGGTGTCAGGAGCACCTCCCCTGGGGCACAGGAGACACAGGGTAGGCCGGGGTAGGCCTTACCAGCGTGTATTTTCTCTCCCTCCCCCCTCTGGTGCTCGTGGCAAAGCTGTGTGACACGGTGCTTTGGTCCCGATTTGCAGTGCTCCTGCTGCTCCGGCCCTGAACAAAGGCAGCCATTCAGCCCCAGCCGCACAGCGGTTTCATGCTACAGATGAACATCTACCATTGTCGCCAGGACTGCAGCCCAGAGAAATTAGATGCAAATTGTCGTTGTTCCCAAGCACAGATCCCCACTTCTTCAGCCCCAGGAGCCTAACAAACACCCTCTGTGCTCCCCATTTGTTCTCGGCGTATCACCTGCTTGTCAGCTAATGCTCTGCTAGGCTGTGGATTTAGCCATGGGCACAGCCTGGTTGTGTGTAACAGCATAGATACTCTCTTAGGGCTGTAGCTGCGTATGTATTGTGTACAATGGGAATGTTTCAAAATAATTAAAAAAAAAATAATCTCAACCAGGGGGTCAGCAAGCAACATGGGTAAACGCAGGAGGTTTCCTGTTCGTGAGGGAAAGGCATCGCTGCTTCAAAGCCTGACCATCTACAGCTGCTCCACAGCTGGGGAAAGGCTGATGCTGTGCCTCCAAATCCTGATGCAAGAAATCCTGCATCTCCTGCCACTGCCTCTTGTATCCAGGAATAAGAAGATAGAATTGATCCAGTGAAAGTCAGGCTGAAGCTCAAAGAAAAATTTCCATTGCATTAGTCTTCAAAGGTGGGAAACAACTTGCTGAGGATACTGAGAATGCTCCATCGTTTGGAGCACTTAATCCTAGGACAGAGGAAAACAACACAGAAGGAAAAACCTTTCTGATGGTACAGGTGAGACAGTACCCAGTTTACCAAGACACTTCTAACAAAGCAGAGGCACCCATCCCGTGAGGACCCAGAATACACAGACCCCAGGACCCACAGAGAGCTCTACCATGATCAGCTGGATCTCCTTCAAACACAACCTGAAGTACACCCTACCACAGCGCCCTCTCCTTCTTTTGGCTGGATCACAGATAGTATTGCAACAGTTCAGTCTTGCAATAGCAAGGATGAGCCTCTCAGGCTCCAGTTCAGATAGGTGAGTTGCTATAGCTCACAAAGCATAGCTGCTGAGCTGCACTGGCAGGCCGCATACACTCCTGGCCTATCGCAGAAGTGAGATAAAATGTATTTGCTTAAATCATTTTCATTGAGGCTTAAGTAAATACACTTTACTTTGTATTTGGTCACTATGCTGCTTGCCCATCTGAGCCTCCAGCTCACAGTGGTTTGTGTTTTCAGATCCACAAATTGCAGGTTGGAGCCTAGATGATGATAGTGCTGAAGGCCATGATGTTTTATCAACACAGGACACATGACCTGCACAGACCTGTCAGCTAGGCCACCACTTGCATGGTTACATCAGGATTATCAGCACGTATCTGATCAGCTCTATCCACCACCAGCCAGCATGTGCCTCTGCACAGCACCAACATTCAGGTCACCAGTTATGCAATTTGTGAGCAATGAGGCAGAGTAATATGTGATATAGAATAGATGAACCTGCAATTGGCTGATGCATAAAATTAGCTTTATTTAAAATGGCCAAATATGGGTTTTCCCCCACATTTAGAAATCTGCACATTAGCTTATTGGCTTCCTCACACACAGAGATTCACTCTCCCAGCACACTGGGGGAAAACTCCATTTCCATGAGTCAGTTCCTGTAGGGAAAGCACAGAGCTGGATACTCCCTTGCCAAAAGGAAATGATTAAAGCCATAAATCAGCCAAAACCATATGGCATCAAACTGTTGGGGTCCATTACCCTCCCTCTGTTAGGGTAGGGCAGGGTTCTTGCAGATGTTGAAAATCTCTTGGCCTCCAAGATGTGGATTAGTCCATTTGTTCAATGCTTAGATGCAGAAACACCCAACCCAAGACAGGAGGAGCAAGATGATCAGCACAGTAGCATGGCTTCATGCAGCTGGCATGTGCAAGAAAAGCTGTCACCAGACTGACAAGTGGCAGGGCTTATGCTTTGCATGATGCTGCAGAAGACCCATGGGAACTGTTGTCACTGGAATCGAAGAAGGTGAGGGCATTTCAGAAGATGTGCATTGAAAACACAAGTTGAAAATATGTGGGACATTTAGAGCAAGTTAAGCGGCTCAGTGATCTGCTATAGAGCCTGCCTTCCCCTCAAGTGCCCTGATGCACCACATTAATTTCTCAATTTAACATCTCAGAAACCTGAGAGCTATTGACACAGTTGCCACATCGTACTGAGGAGCATTTCACACGAAATACCAAGCTACAGCTTTTCTTTTCTTTAACAAACACAATAGCCTGCATTTCTGGAACCCATGGAATGTTGTACAGCAGGCAAAAATTATTTCTGTAATTGGTATGCAAACAGAGGAAGTGCACGAAGGGGTGAAATACTGCAGATGCTGCGATACAGCCCTTCGCAGGGAAGATAAGCGGCCTGCCAGAGATGACCGTGCCCAGCTCCAAAGAGTAGAACCAGGACAAGATAAAGGCTCATGAGCCAAGGTATCCACAAAAGCTGAGCACAAAACCATCTCAAGCTTTGGTCAAAGAGCAACAACAGACATTACCTTGTACAAGGCCACAACACAAGGAGCCCACACTCACCATATCCCAGCTCATGCTGCAGTTGCTAACAGGCCACAGCCGACGCAGGGCTCGTGTCCAGTGCTAAACATCTTGACAGGGAAGAGCAGCAGTGTCCTGTGGGAATCCAGGGCAAGGAAAGTGGAACCACCCACACCGTAACGCATGCCATGCAGCCTTCAAGAGCTGCTTTTCAAAGCTCGGGAAACCACAGCTCCAGCTAACATCTGTCAGCTGCAAGAAATTAGTCCCTCTGTTACTCACCTGCATTCTGCATCGGCTCTAAAGGAACAGGAAAAAGGGGCTGCCCCTGAACTGCCTTTTTGTTTCAACCTGTCCCACTCTATGCTGCAATTCCCATCCCAGCTGTCTCTCATACCAATAAAATAAAAGCATTCTTGAAATACTAAAAATAGGAACAGCAGGGCAGGCCATGCTTTGAACCTGGGCTGCACTGGGAATTTCTACTTCTGCTGTCTGTGTGTGACTTGAACATTTCCTACTGGCTTCAAAACAAAATCCAGAAACATACTTGTGTTTGAATCCCTACAAGTTTCATTTTAAGACTGACTCGAAAGGATGGATTCCCAATCTATCTGGTTCCCAAACAAGTGTTATCATTGCATCTTTAAGCAGGGAAGCCTCAGTGTCTCATTTTCTTCTCATTCACTGAACCAGGGTGAAAGCTCAGTTCTAGCTACAGAGAAGAAGCTGCACAACAAGCCCTACAACCACAAACTTCATTTCACTCCTTTTTTTTCCATTGCACTCTTTTTCTTCCCCTCACTCTGCTGCACAGTCAGAACACTCCCATGCTGCTGCAAGAAAGAGAATCTGTTCTTGTGCCCATGGCCAGGTTTTAAAGCCAAAGTATGCTCTGCCGTCAGAAATACGGCTGCAGCACTTCTGGCTATGCTTTGGCCAGCTTTAATCAAGGTAGCTGTAGTGGCAGCACCTGTGGTGCTAGGGCTATAAGGGCTAAAGCAAAGGTTGCACCCACAGCCAAGGCTATCAGGTAGCCAGGACTGAAGCCTGACTTTTCAGCACTTCAGCATGTGGGACATCAGCTGAGATCTTGTTTGCCTGCTGGTGTTGTGAGTGCCTCCAAGTGACTGAAGTCACTTCTCAGCCTATTTGTTTGTTTCCCCCACTCCTGCAGATGGCAGGCAGGCAGTGGCAAACTCTCCACAGCCAGAAGTGCAGAAGGGAGGAGATGAGCTCCTGTTACAACCAGGCAGGTGGTTAAAAAGGATCCTTCCATTCCTGCCCTGACACGATTTTAAGTCAGCATTTTTTTCCTTCAAGATTTCAGACAAGCTTAGCTTTTTCAGTAAAAAAAAGATGACGACAAACATGTCTTGGTCTGACAGAGTTTGAGTGAAGCTGTCAAAGTGTCAAATGCACATTAGCCAAAAGAACTCTTACCCTCCAAAAAATTGCTCCATTTGGCAAGCCACTCTCCATCAAAGCAGCACAGGCATACGACTTGAACTTTAAATTAGGCATTAAGATGTATAAGGATAGGGCTGATTGTTTATGTTGTTTAATAAAAATCTACAATCAGACTCATAACATTTATCCTGGATGCCACCAGCTGTAGCATTTTACTCCCTTACTACTTTATGGAGCTCAGTAACTATTTGCGCCTAACTGCAAATTTACATTTGCTGGAACACAGCTCCTAGCTATGTTTTTTTTTGTGAATTTGTTGTTGTTGTTACATCCTTCTCTACTGTATTAAACAACACTCAAATACCTGGTCTGTTGCCCTACAGAAGTATTTGCATACCAGAACTGAAAAAAACATCTCTTAGTCTCCTTTCTGCAGCGATTCAGTTTATAATTCTGAAGGCTACAGATGATATATAGTAGCTGGCTTCACAGTTTTAAAGTCTTTGCAAGCTTAACCAATAAAATATTAATAGATTTTTCTAATTAAAATTATTGATATCACCCTTGTTTTTCACGGTGTTGATGTTGGTTTAATAACTACTCAGAACACACCTCCTGGCCTGAAGAGCTTAATGTCAAACATTGGGCTTGGTGGAAGACATGCTGCAACTACCCACAGGTTATTGGGCTCACTACAGCCCTAACTATATTAAGCTCAATGGACTGCAATGTGGTACACGAGAGGTCTAGCCAGACGATCTAGTTTGTAGTCCCCCCCTGCTTATAAGCTTCTGGATCTACATAAACAGGACAGGAAGAAGACAGAGGTGAAATCATTTAGCAACCAGCAGAGCACTGCCCAATATACAAATCACTGAACTCACAGTGCAGCACTCAAACCTCTAAATCACAGGGCCTCAGCGCTTTTGTGGGGGTATGCCCTTATTCGGAGCAAACATTTTATGTCCTTCCCCCAACGTTTACTATAATAGTAGGAGCAAAACCAACATATGTATGGTAACATCTATATACCGTGCATTTGTATGTGCTTTGAGGATATAATAATATTTGAGGGGTAAAGATGGGGATGGAAAGCAAGATTTCATTCGTTTTAGATTAAAATTTTCAACCTGAATAGAAAGGTGACCTGCCACGATCTTCTTTCATGACCTTCCTCCACCCCCTGAGTCCTGCAACTCACCCACTGTGAAATAACGTGCTAGATTATACACTAGTTCTCATAGAAACACTTCAGGCATTGAAAGCATACGTAATTCAAACATTTAAATAGGCTTTCTTCACCTTGCAACTGCAAGCTATTTCTACATTTTCCTTTCCTGCAGGTCCCCAACATACATGACCTCCTTTTCTGAAGTTGTGTGTGCTGACATAAAGGTTGGATAGATGTGTGATGACACGGAGGTTAGGGGAGACAGAAGCAACAAAGGCTGCACAGATGCCAGGTGGGAGTTGCAGGGGTAGGTGGAATTACACCTAGAATGAAATTGCTCCTCTCTTTTCGCAGTGGAGCTTTATTTACCTTTGTCCCTTGTTCTTCCCATCATCCCTGTTCCCTTTCATGTCTTGGCTATTAACGATATTAGGAAAATTATTCATTCGATTGCTTGTAGAAGCTGCCCAAAATAAATACATTCCACTTAATAAACCTTCTTAGCAGGAAGGAAGGGGAGAATGCCTAATTAATGTATTAATGATTATAATGCACTTTGAAGATGAGAAGTGCCATGAGTTCTAAGGGCATGTTTCCGCCCTCAGAAGTCCCTGGGAATCGTGTGCAGAAGTTAATTCTGAACATTACCACTACTGCACTCTGGCAGGGAAAAAAAGATGCACGTACAACTGCTTCTCAGGGCCCTGGACCTATGTGTAGAAGTTGAACCATTTTTCAGGTACTGCCTCTGTGTTAAGACAACATTGCTTTATATTCATCTCCAAAACCAGGAATGAAAGAGTGCTAGGAGGAACCATTTAATGCAATTTATCCACGCTTTGTGGACACATGGCCCAGCTGTAATACCATTATACTTACCCAGAAAGAACAAGTCGAAACCTCAAGGCATTGAAGTTCAACACTACCACTCACTAATGGATTTTCCCCACCCATGTGTGCTCAGCCTCTCCTCAAACACGTGCTGCTGGGGCACAGTCCCCTTGCTAGTAGGTGAGAAGCGAAAGATCTGGTGCTGCTCCTACAGCAACAGCAGCTTAAGGCAAAAGCGAGGGCAGTAATACCGTGAGAGATGATAATCCCTAGCTATTGCAAGGAGAGAGCGTTTGGGTCAAAGGAGATTTCCAGCTGGTGAAGTTTCCATGGTTTAGGAACAAAAGTATTTCTCCTCACCCAGACAATACAGCACAGGCTGAGATCTGAAGAACAGATTTGCCCCTTGCTGCAGTAAGAAATCTGCCTCTGAAGCAAGGGAAAAATAAGTAGCTTAGGAAGTCTCTCAGATGTCACTGCACAAACAAAATATGAGCTGCTAATAACAGGTTTCTTAGACACACATTTCTTTTGGATGTGCTACCAGGAGGCACACACTCTAGGCTCTCCCTGTTACGGGCTTGGGTTATGAAACCATTAATGAACGTACTTGAAAATGTCAGTTTGAAAGAATCAGGTACCGGCAGCACACATTTGCATAGCCATCTCCTGAAAACACCGAGCGGTCTCGACAAGTCTGAGAAAAGAAAGTAAAGCACACATTAAGAGAACAGCAAGTTACATGCACGGCTAGCGGGAGGACAAAAGGGGCAGGAATTAGGCTGTCAGTCTACACATTTTCTGATAATCACTTGGGATATGGTGAATAAACGCAGGGATGCTGTACTGCTCACCTCTAGCACAAAACAAAACAAAGGAGCTCGATTCAGCTGGGAACCCGTGGAGCACGTTGTGCAAACCTCCCAAGTCCTTTCTAGGGAAGACTCTCGTCTGCACGAGGGCCATAGAAAGCACAGCCTAGGCAACACAAGTGACCTGCAGCAGATCCCAGGAGCGAAGCCAAACAAAAGCTTTGAGCTTTCCTCCCAACAGAGAGCTGAGAATCAGCTGCATCTCTGTGCCCTGTTGGCAGGAACAAGCAGCAGTCCCTTTGTTGGGACAGACAATTATTTATTTTTATTTTTTTAACCAGGCTAAAATCAGCACCTGTTTGCTCTAGTGCTTCTCCTCAAGCGATGAGTAAGGACGGGTACTTTCCCTTTTGGGCTGACAGCCACTGAGTCAGCCCTCCCTCCTGAGTTAATGCCCTGCCCGATGAAGCTGAGGCTTCCCCCGTGCAGGCCGTGTAATTCACCCAATGGCAGCAGCTGATCAGATTCGTTTTTATGGATTTTTCCGTCTGTGTCATAACATGAAAAGTTGATTATTTTGTAACGTTGGCATTTACTTTTCACTCCTTTTCCCGGGAAATTAACAAAGAAAAAAAAACAAACCCAGCAATACGATTCCCTGAGGTTACTGAAGGGAACTCCCACAAGCTGCTCTAAAACTGGCACGACAAACTGAACAGAAACCAGCCTCTCCTCCCTGCAATGTTGTTGCTTCTCCCACCCACTGTCTCTCACACCTGGTGGTGTGCTAGGACAGCGAGTGCCCGCTCACAGTTCACACCGCAGCACACGATGGAGGTCTGTGACCAAAAGAGGTTTCTAGGTGCTTGCAATACCACAAATAAAGCAGCGGATGTCTGAGATGCTCTGAGAACCAGAAACAGCCTGGTTTTCAAAGCTGCTCTGCTTTCTGCTTACCAGAAGCTTCTTTCTTTATTTTTAAGCTGCTGATTTCCTACCCGAAACCAGATTGTTAATAAGGTCAGCTCATCAGCAGAGAACCCTGGTAATAGTGTGACTGCATCCTGAGCCTCCTTCCCTGCTCTTTTTCTTCTCTCCTTTCTGGCAGCAGAAGCAGCCCATGGCCCTCATCCGTAGGACAGTGATGCTCAGCTTTGTCCCTGTTCCCGAGAAGCCCCAGCACAGCTCTGTGAATGTCTGCAGAACGAGTCCCTCAAGCTGGGGCTAGAGAAATAAAGCAAAGGCTGCCTGAACTTAGCACAAAACTCAGCTGCTGCATGAATTAGCAGGGGACACGTCCCTGGCTTCCCTCTCCTTTTCCTCTTTGCTTGCTTTCCAAATCCTCTCCTCTCCACTGGCTATCAGCAGAAAGACTCCTCTCCTCTGGCTGTGGGGGAAGAGTTGAAAAGATGTTACATCTGGAGAGAGATGGCCCAGGATCTGTGGCATCCTCCCTAAATGACATCTACTAGAGGGCAGGAGATCTGTGGAACATTTCCCTCCGGGAAGCAGTTCTGAATCTAACCTCAGCAGGAAGCAATCAAACCGATGCCAATTGCTTTGGGGCATAAGCTGGTCTCCATCAACCTTAAAAATGCCAGGACTGTGTCAGAATCGGGCTCTCCTATACCTAGCAAGAACCAAGCAGCTGCTGCTGCCAAACTGCTGCAGGCCTGTACCTCTTGCCACCCCATCCTTGCGTAAGAAGATGCTGCAAAAGACCAAGTGAATTTTGCCATTTTCTCTCCTTACTGTCTTTAGAAATAAGTACACAAAAAGTCAGCGTTCTTCTGCATGAAGAAAGGGCTTGGCAATACGGCATCAGCACCTGGAGTACCTTAATTTATTCTTCCCAAATTCTCATGAAGAACTGATGAAGAGTTTGCTAGAGGGCTCTCCTAGACTAAAAGCTGTGAGAAGGTCAAAAGGACACACATGTTTCACAAATTTTCCAGGCTTGAAAGTTACCAACCCCCCTTCTTTCATATACTCTCACTCACATCTGACAAATCGTACAGTGCAGATGCAGTAACACAAGCATCCTCCTTTTTGGGAACTTGAACCATTTGCCGGATACCTCACTAATCATCCTACAATGGGAAAACAGCCCCGCCAGAAAGTGATACAGTGGCACTTCTATGCTTATTATTAAGTCATTTTGCTGAAGATAATTAAAAAAAATATATCATTTTTCCTCACTTGCAAACACTGCTCAAGACACAAATGCAGTCCCCATCTGAATGGCTAAAATCCACTTTGAGTAGAAAAGCAATTATGGCAGCTCAAGGCAAGTGTCCTCACAAGTCAGTACAACACAAAAGCCCCTTCAGTCCCACTACGGCTACCATCACTGCCAACATTTATTGGTTCAGTAACAATGACAGGCGAATCTGTCAGAGTCCTCCTTTGCTCGTGCCATTTTGTTTTAACCCAAAAGTGAAGCTTTGGAAGGAGACGTCTCTTATCCAAGCCACAGCCCCGCAGCAAGAAGAAAATCAAATCTGACATTTCTGGACCCATTTCAAACTCAAAGCAAAGTACTCGGTACGTTGTCTCCTCCCACCAGGTAAGAAAAGGACAAATAACTTATTTGTAAATGAGCAAAATAAACCATCTTGCACTATCATCTTTTCGGGTATTTCTATCCTATAAAGCAAGATAAACTAGGAATCAAGCTCCACCCTCAATAAGTGGAAAAGTCTGACGATTTTCACAGCAGCTACATAAAAATAAGGGGTAAGGAAAACCAATGTGATGCCTGCCAGTTGTGACTGTTTTTCTCACCCATCCTGTCTCTTACTTCATACCTGGGCTGATTTGGGCATAGGGCAGCCAGGTTCAGGTGCTGCCCAGACCTAAATAAAACCAGCAACCCCACGTCACAGGCTCAGCCTGGGGTGCAGCCATCAGGACCCTAAAAACATCAGCCTGTCAGCAATACCTATGTGAGGCATTTCTGCAGGCATGGTAGCACGGAGAGAAGCCCTCGGAAGGGATGCACTGCGTCACAGCTGGAGCTCTGGCCAAATTGAAGTCCCAAAAGCCCCTAAGGCAACTGAAGCTCAGCTGGGAGGCAGGTGGTAATCCCATCCTTTAGTCATGAGACGGGGCTTCTGCCAAGCCCCCTGCCCGCCTGGTGCTCCGAGCTTTCAGCTAACCCAGCCTGGCAGAGAGGACCCCAAAAGCAGGAGCTCCCGAGCTGCTTCTGTACCTCTGCAGGATGGCTCCATCGTGCGACAGCAGAGGAGCTCTGCAGCCCAGTGGGAACGCGCTGGAGAAAACAAAGCCTGCTTTCTCAGCAGGTGGTCCTATGCCAGTGATTTAATTTATGCGAGCTAAAAAGCCCAGAGCAGCTCTTGGACAAAGACCTAGGATTAGCAAGTGAAATGCAGCCTTATTTTTAACCCCTCTGTAGCTTCCACGCTGAAACGCGGCTTTGTGCTGGCAAATTGGGATGGTTGGTCTGGAGAAGGGAGAGGGCTAAGGGATAAGCAGCGGTTGCATAGACCGCTTGAAATAAAGGTTTATTTGTGGCAGGGTTTCAATTTCGCATTCATTCAAGCTCCGCGTCCTTTTTACAGCGAGAGTTTGTTCCTTCCACCACCGCTGGCCGTAAAAGGCACTTACATGTTTTCATTTCCGAGCCAAGTTAAAGCTGAGAAAGATTAAGGAGTTAATACTGATGAAATAAAACTGATACCAGCACTTTACCTCCTGTAAAGTGATGAGTAAGATGTTATTTACGCTGTGGTCTACACTCAGGGAGCTTTTGAGCTGCGTGTGTGGCTTGCAACCATATGGCTATATCGGGGGAGCCCTGACACTTACAAGCCAGAGCTGCTACCTCACTTCCTTCCTCCCACGCTTTAAACCTAGCTCTTTTTTCACTACTCTTTCCAGATCCTCTCCCACTGTCCATAACCCTCCTTTTACTAGTGTATCAGCAGCCTTCCCTTCAGCACAGAGGCTGCGCCCAGCTCACACACATTTCCCTTCTGAAACCTACCAGGTACTTCACTGCCCCACAGCCCCGGGGGCTTGATGCAGCTGGAATTGTTCTTCCAGTTCTGCCCCACAGCAGTGTTTCAGCTTTGAAATAAAACAGAGAAGTGGCACAGGACAAGCCAACAGTGGCAGGCACCAGGAAGCTGCCCCAGGCAGTGCTTGGAGCCACCCGCCAGGGACCTGCCTCTGCTCTGCAGCCAGGGTCCCAGCAGAGGTTTGTGGTGTGCCAGAAGCACCCAGCCAGGGCTGCAGCCAGCAGGCAGAGCAGGAGGAGCTCCAAGGCTTTACAACATCAGGCACCCAGGTCTAGCTGCCCCACAGCACCGCTCACTTTTTCCATCTTTGCCATGTGGAGACTCTTGTGGCAGCCAAACTTCATCCTCTGGACTGGTGATGGCACTCCTCATGTCCCCAACAAGAAGCTTGGAGAAAAAGCCTGGATGCTGTGCAAAGACCATTCAGCAACAGCCGAAACACTGGCATGTTACCAACTTTTAACCACAAATGCAAAGGCTGCCACCAAAAGAACTGCTATAAAGAAAATTAACTCCATCCCAGCCTGACACGGTACATTCCAGCCTTCCTCCACATATATTTTAACACAGCTGATCACGTTAGAGTAACGAGGCCTAGCTACTAACTGTGTGCACATGCGAGGAGTTCCAACACTTAGGAAAAAGTTTGGATCTTTACTCTCTACCATTCTCAACACAATAATCTTCAGTAGTTTGGCTAATGAAAGACAGTTATTTGATGAAGCTTCTACAGGCTCAAGTGTGGTTAATTTACCACAACTTATTACCGTCAGCTGGTTTGCTCTTAACCTAGAGTGAAAGCAAAGCAACAAGGCTCGGCTTAGACCAAAGAGGTCTCAGATAGGCCTCGGTACCTAGCATTTATCACAAGCTAAAAATGCAATGTGAGAGCTAGCAGAGTTCAGATAACCAAGTGTAATTGCTTAATGACAGTAAATCGACCAGAGCTTTAAGTAATCAGTCTTTCTGATTATCAGGAGGATCGCAAGATAAGTCAGTCGAGAAGGAAACTCAATAGGTCAGGTCGGGTTGCTCAGGATTGGACTCAGCAGCAAAAACAACCAAGTAAAAATATAAGAGTTTTCATTTTTTATTTATTTATTTATTTTTTACTATATTTCCATGGTATTGTGACAGTAGCCTACCACACAGCTGTGTGATAGTTCCTCAGTAACAGATACGAAGTAACACCATATAAAAATATGCATCTAATTGCTTTAATTCTGCTTCCCATGTAAGTGAGTTACAACCCTCAGAGGCTTTTACACTAGGTTATTGCTTCCACAGAAAGCACCGTGATGTGCCAAAGCCTGAAACCCAGCATCTGCTGCCAAGACTGCAGCAAGCTCCCAGAAAGTTCGCTTGGGGGCTGCACAGGTGCAGCAGTTCTGCCATTAGTGGCACGGAGCAGGACACTTCCTCCCTGATCCCCTTTTCCCCATTATGAAGGTTGGTTGTACAGAAAACACGCAACCCATGCTTAAAGGACCCTCTTCAGATTTGATCTTACTCGTCATCCCAAAGCAAACAGAACTGAGGGTCTTCTGAGCACTGCTGGATCAACTCATAGCTGACCATGCAGCACCAGGCAGAATTCATCACGCAGTATATTTTTCCTCCCCCTGCTTTTTTGCTTTGTGGTAGCGGTTGTAATCATTGTACAGATCCTTAAAGACCTCCCTTACACCTGCTGGTAGCGACGCATTTAAGAACTTGACATCCCGCTCAATGCAAAGGTCAAGGATGTGATATATCCCTTCTGTGAGATGCTTCTTCACAGCTGGGTGCAAAGTCACCTACAGGAAGAACAAAACTGCATTAAACTTGAAGACAAAAAAAAAAAAAGCATGAAAACACCCTTTCCACGGCCAGTGTACATTAAAAGTGCTGACAACATGTTATTGAATGCATGAGACCACCTGGAATAATCCATTAGATAAAATCCAGCATGCCATCTTGTCTAGCATTTTCCTGATTTTTGCAAATATATTTTGCAGAACAAGCATGTTCCTTGCAATAAAGTGCATGTGAGTGCTACTACACACACTGCTGCAAAGACAAAGACACTGATCATCTTTAGAACCAAGTGAAAAGTCCTCAGCAGGAAAACTGTAACTAAAATATTTGCCCTGGATTACACATTTCTATAGATTCCGTACGTATCGTTAGCTGTATGCTCTGAAATCAGTGGTTTCAAACAAGCACCGACTTGAAGCTAGTCTATTGTTCACACTGGGTAATCAATCACTTAACAACTTGATATTTATCTAACAATTTGTGTCTGAGGATTTGAACGTGTAAGGTTTAGTGAAAGAAGCTTTCTGAAAGCTCAGGAGATGTGCATTTCCTTGATCTGACATTGGAAATCAAGTACCTCACCTGAAGTCACGCAGAAAGCTGACGGCAGAACTGGGAATACAAACAAAGACGCCAGACTCAGAGCCCTGCTCCTGCCATTACCCCTGCCCAACCCCACAGCCTGCTAACCAGCCACTAACCAGGCTAGTTAACCAGGCCACTGGAGGTGGTGGACAACCCTGGAGTCCTCTGGTGCTCCACATAAACTGGAATTTGTCCTGTGCACACAAATCACTTGCTAAATGCTTCACTGCCTTAGGCAGTGCTGGCCTCTGGCATAATCACATTATTTTTGCTGCAGAACCACATCTTATCTTTGCTGAATCCCAAAATTAGCTTTATGCCTCCAGACCTAAGCCTCTGCACTCCAGGCCTGATGAAAATTACATAAAAGGCTGCCATTAAAATTCAGAGTTCTTTCTTCCTCAGGCAACTAATAAACTTTCCCCTAATGAAGTGCACTCCTAATCACTGTGACAAGCTCCTGCTCTCCTTCTGCCCTAAACACAAAAGAGAGAATATATTTTATTAGGGCTGCTAACATAACTTGGAAGAACATATAACAGGCATTAAAGCACATAAGCCTTTCTTTTGATCTCTGACCCTGAAGAGTTTGCTTGACCAAAAGTTTGTCAGCCGATCTATTAGCAGGTTTGTAAAAGATGTTATTTCAGCCCTGCCATGCACTAAAGGAACAGAACAGCTGAGCATCACAGCTCCCAGCGAATGCACTGGGCTTGCTTCTCCCTCCACAGAGCAGAGAAGGGATTGCAGGGAATAAGGTGAGGGAGACACAGCTATTGACGATATGGAATAGATGGCCCACTTGGGATGAGCAGATACCTCAGAGCTACAGTTAATGGAATTACATCCTTCACATTGCAAACCAGCCTGCATCCGTGCCTTATTTGGGCCATTCCTGCTTTGCAGTGCAGTTTCCTATAAACACCCGCCAATAACACCATGGGAAGCAAAAGCAAAGATTTAAACAGCTGCCACTACTAGCTGGCACTTAATTATGCTTCTAAGTGTTTTATGGTCTATATAGTTAGCACAAACAATTTGTCAAGCATTACAGAGCTCTTGATGTGCGACATTAAGTGTGCGAAGAGATATTTCACTACTGCTGAACCAAGCAACAGCTCATACACAACAAGGAAGAGCGCTGTCAAGAGTATGAAGGAAGCTAGAGATGCCACCCACTTCAGCAAGAAATCTTTCTAGGTTATCACAAACAATTTGCAAGTATATTTATTTCCTGGTATAAAAAGGACGCACTGAGGGAACTATTACACAACTGCATTAGGAGCAAATAACTGTTTAGGCCAATGGTTTTAGTCTGCAGACCCTTAAAAAGGGATCCAGTAAGTGTGCAGATGCCTACGTGAAGATTTAAATTTATCAACAGCATGTTTTTCTCAGTGATATTTCACAGACACCCAAGGTCTTTGGACCATAGGCAGAAAGTCACTGATCTGGACTCGGATGAAATAAATGGCTAGAGTTTTCTCTCTCCATCTGCAGAGCAACATAAAAGATATGTATGATATGTATATGCCCCTTCAGGACCAACACACTGAGTCCTCTCCTTCCTCTGATACCCACCAACTCTCACCAGGCTAATGGTGAAATAAATCACCACCTACTTGTGATCCATCTATTCTGTCAGAGACAGAAAACACCCCTTTGTTACAGCTTCTCACAGCTCACTACACAAATTCACCTTTCCACACTCAAATGCTCCACGCATACATTACCTATCTGCGGTTTCAACTATCATCCATCATTTTCCATTTATCAGCGAAAGCATTACACAAAATTTTCCTAAAATCTTGTGAGACTTTGTACTCAGTCTTAACACTGAATAAGTCTCCTTCTGACTTGAAAAAGTCAACGTAACTCAAAAGGTCATTTGATAATTTAAGCCAGGCCCCATTTGAGGAAAGGCTCCATATTCAGTGACGAACAGACTTCAGAGAAGTTCAGAGCAAGTTATATAAAGCAGTAGCCTTAATTTATCCCTAGTTTTGCTGGACTTCTGAATATACTGTGGCACTGAAACAGGCTACCAGGACAGTAGTCATGGCACCCAGCCTGCTGGAGTTCAAGAAGCATTGGGACAATGCTCTCAGACATATGGTTTAATTTTTAGGTAGTTCTGGGTGGAGCCAAGGAATGGACCTTGGGAGTCCCTTCCATTATGGGTATTTTCTTCTGTTCTCTCCAGGTGCTGTCTGCCAGAGGCTCCAGGTAGGGTCATGCTCCTTGGCTATGGTGCAAAGCACATTTTTTACATCTTGTCCTGTCCAGACTGGCTCAAGGGCTACTGCATGAATTGCCTGGTTTAATTTGCTCATAGGCTTGTGGCTGGCTGTTCAGGGCTCCCTTTGAAATCATTCTCCTTCCAGGTCACTTGACAGAGAGGAATTACAACCAGACTGTAACTTGGAATATGCATTCAGACTGTAACTTGGAAAATCCATTTTCCAAAAACCCACAACACCTAAGAAAGCTTGTGCTTGTTTGCTGTTAGTTGGTAGAGACAGCTGTTACTTACTAATCATATCCACTGGGATCTGATGGCACCCATCTTGCTATTTTATTCTTAAAAACTAGTTCTCCAGTGCAGGTCCTTGGACCATATTTTGTTTTATGGCAAAACCAACTTACAGAAGAAGGTGAGGTTCAAACTGGATATTCAAACAGCTTTCAGGTGAGCTTCAGACTAGGTATTAGGAATAGGCTTTACACTGGAGCAGACTTTTTAGTGAGTGGCTGATGCCGCATGCCTGTCAATTTTCAAGAGGCATTCAGGTAATGCCCTTAATAATATGCTTTAACTTTTGGTTAAACCTGAAGGGTCAGGCAGTCGGACCCTATTTTTAGGTCCCTTCCATTTTAATAACCAACTCACCAGGAACAGTAAGTAACTGACATATCCTATTGTTTTACTCCCAAACCTCTGAAAAAAGCCAGGCAGGCAACAGAGAAGGCAGCTGAGTTTAAGCTTCAGTTTTCATTACTTACACTGCTTAACATAATCCTTTAGAAACATAGAACCAGTTAGGATATTTTTGTGGAAGGCCTAAAGAAGACTACAATTAATTTCTCTATTTTTGGCCCATGTCCAGGCCTGAGCCACAAATAATCAGTTTGCAGGTGCTGACAATGCAGGCAGCATTCAAATCCTTGTGAAATTTAAACCATTAGGTTGGAGAGAATGACAAGTTGAATTTAAGCCTGGATGTGAGAGGCTGCTGACAGGCTCTGGCATCAATAATAGCAGGAATAGCTGTTTTCAGTAAGGATACTAATGATACCTTTG